ATGCCACTAAATCCTACTCACTGAAACTTTCATTCTCTTATTATTTTTAATGGATTAATGGTGGCTAATATTTAGAATTTAATAAAATCCCAACCAGCTGGTGCCACTATTTCCAGCTAGTGTCTGACCCAGCACTGCAATGCCCCCCTCCTCTGTGCTTTTAACTCTGCAGATATTTCTGTCCTCTTTCTTCTTCGCTCTCCTCTTCTGTAATCCTTTCCACAGTTTTGCCTCCCCCCTCTCTCTCTCTCTTCCTACACAGTCACAGCTTTTACTCCTGACGACAGATTAGTTTATATTATGGCAACAGGAGAGCTGTCAGCAAGAGTGTGAGACTGCAACACACACTGTCCAACCATGACAATGCCAGGAAGGCTCGTAGAGAGAGGGAGAGAGGCTTTATTGCTGAAAGGCCCTGGAGAGTTAAAAACCTTCCCTACAGCAGTCTGTGGATTACTGTCCCCTCGCTGTTGACAGGAGTTTGCAGCTCCTGCTGATACAGCCCCAGCCTGTCTAATCTGCCAGGGGTTCATACAGCAAGTCAAATTACTCTTTAGAAACATGGAGGCAGTGCAGGAGGATTTCCTCAATTAAACATGTCTTAACAGAGGCTGGAGATATACCAAAGGCTCTCAGGAAGGATTGACAGCAGGGACGCATGGCTCAGCGTGCCTCAGCACTCTAAAGAAAAAGCTGAGATGTTGCAAAATATATGTGAATTGACAGATATTAATTGCTGCCTCAGTGGCTTAGCATGCTGAAGTGAAGGATGCTGAAATGTATTCACTCAAACCAGACAGAGATAAAAAGGAAGCTTTCCCCCAAAATCCCTCTTTCACCAACTTAAAATTATGATATTTACCTTGCATTTCAAGTAGAGGGCTCTGTTTTTGTGCATTAACCATATTTGTGACAAGTTCCAAAAAAAAGCCATATGATTGACACAAGCATAGACACATGGATTATTATTCTTCTACTGCAGGAACGTTTTTGTAGGTTTGGGTAGTTCTTAATTAGAGGTTTGGACAAGTTGAGACCCTTCACTTGTGTTCAAACATTTATTTATTACAGAAAAGAAAGCACTTCGTCAACTGTAAAAGGTGCCCACAACTAAACATATACGTCCTGTGCACTGACATACAATGTCATTGGCTTTCAGACATACAACAGCAAGGCAGAGCTGTCAGTGATGTCCCAAAGACTGGCCAATGTTAGAATGTACTTCAAAGAAGCTGATCCCCTGTGCATGGTCATCTTTATTTTTGTCTCTCTCTGGCCTGTTTTGCTTGCATTTCTTTTTTGTGTTAGCTTTCTTTTCTGGGACTCGCGTCATTTATCTGTCAGGGTTGACTGTAAATGACAGGCAGCCTCCTTTGTGGTTTGGCCTTGGGTTTAGCGCATGTGTGTATGAGAGTTTCTGAATACAAAATACACTTTAAAATCATTTCTAGTCCTAAGCACGTCTCCTTTGGATGTCATTTGTATAATGTTTCTATAAAGGTAGCAGATCATTGTGATGAATTTGGGTTGCTCTGGTTCTCATCCTTTTTGGCATCAAGAACCTCCAAATTGATACACATCAGGCCAGGGACCCATATTTGATAAGATGTATTCTCAGGGATCCCCATCTGATAAGATTAGTTATTCCATAACTGTCTATGCTATAGATTATCAGGCAGATTAACAGTGAAAAGTGTGAAATCTATGAACAGAATAGTCATTCTTATATTCTCTTATTAAATGAACTTTTAGCCTATTAAATAATAGTGAAATTGAGGTTCACAAGCAGTATAGTGTGCAACACCCCTACTTTCATATCATGGTTTAGTCCACATAGTCCTTAATTCATTGCCGATCAGTGGAGTGTGTTACTCGCACAAATGTGACCACTGGAGTGTTTTTGCACTTCAGACAGCCAATGTACCAACTGTAGAACCATTAGCTGTACTTAGCTAGCCATTTACACACTGATGTGTTTGGAATGTGTGTTTGACAGCTCAGCATCTGATCTCAGACCTCTCTATAGGCGTTATCCACTAACAGGGAACTGGCTCCGTTCTGGTTCAAGAACCTAGGAACAAAAAAAAAGCAGGTTTTTCTTAGAAAAAAAAGTTGATGTGTCATATTCTGCGGGTTGCTATCCATTGTGCAGTGCCTTTATGCACCAATGCACCAAGACAAATTCCTCGTATGTGTAAAAACTCACTTGGCAATAAACCTAAACCTAATTCTGAATAAGCATAAAGGTTTGATGTTCTTCTTTTTGTGTTCAGTCAGAATAATATTTTATCCCAGTCTCCCTAAGTGAGATAATTCAAAGTTTTCTAGTTTTGTAATGAAACAGTGTAAAACTCTAAATAACTCTTCCCCCAGCTGACGCTACTAAGCCCAAGACCACCACCACCCGCAGCTCTGCTTCCACCACCGCTGCGTCTCGCACTCGAACTGCAGCAGCCAAACCGGCAACACCATCCTCCACCACCGGCACAGTACCAGAGAAGAAGCCCCCAGTGCCCCGCGCTGCTCGGGCCACTTCCTCAACCACATCCACCACCACGATCACCACCTCTAGGACCACATCTCGCCCCAACACGGCACCGGCCCCCGACATCCGTAACGCCCGCTCTAAGATCGGCTCTACAGACAACATGAAGCACCAGCCTGGAGGAGGGAAGGTAGGTCCTACTGTGGAATCCCCCGCAACTCTCACTCCTCTCTACAGGTTTTATAGCATGTATTTCTGACACTGGCCGCCCCTCAACTAACAGGCAGTGGAGCTGCAAGGCCAGTTTAACATGTGACACTGGCTTCCTGTGGTTCCTCACTGACTCTTCAAACTTATTTCTGAAATTCTTCATACATACCGCTTTTAGTCTAAATATAACCATCTATCAACATTTAGCACAATGCACAAAGTTGCTAATACATTAACCTCACCAGCTCTAGTGAAAACCAGTCTATACATTTCTGTATCTTCTTTCTCGCTGTCCTTAGCTTGGTTAATATGCTTGGATTTTTCAGTCACACCTTATTT